CGCCGCCACTGCCACTGCCACAGCCGCCACTGCCACAACCACAGCCGCCACAGCCACAGCCCCCACTGCCACGTCCAGGAAAACAACTCCGCCGACCTGCTCATCCATCCTCAGGTGAATGATTTCTATTTAAATTTTTAGAAAATAGATAAACAAATTAATGTACAATATTTTATTTATTTTTAATTTTGTAAATCAAAAATAAAAAAATAAAAATAACATTATTTTAAAAATGAAAATATGGTTGTTTATATTGTCTATATTTTGTAACTTAAATATATATATAAAAAATTTAAATATAATAATTAAAATAAAACATTGTCAGTCGTATCTATTATTGAGTACCCTATTAAATTAATAAAATTAATGTTATAAAATATATAAATATATAGTATACATATAAAATAAATAAAAAAAATTAATGATACATTAAATCAAAATATGTCGTATATATATTGATTGTTTTATTCTAATACAGGTGCGAGTAGCAAACGCACTAAGGGTGACGACTGGATCAAAGGGCCAGTGCCCGGTGGCCCCGTTGACGGGAGTGTGGTTCCTAGCTTTCTAGGGCACGTAACCTCTAGGATGTGGGCAGGAGAATTCAGAGGCATGTTGAAATGCCAAAATAGGATGGCAGCGTACAAGAGTTTGAATAATTGGCTCCAGGAGATGAGTCCGGCTTCGCGCGCCCTGATATGTGACATCGGGATGTCACATTTGGCCTTCTGTATGCATAGTCACGTCGACACTCCACTTCTCTGTGCATTTGTGGAGCGTTGGCAGCCAGATACGAACTCATTTCACCCGCCATTTGGTGAAATGAGTATACTGCTGCACGCCGTGAGGGCCATTTTAGGGATTCCTGTGGAGGGAGCGGTAGTCACCGCGGACCCCGACACTCTGACATGTCAGGCGTACTTCATGGAGCTCTTGGGGGTGGACCAGGATACATTGAGGGCCACATTATGGAGTAAAGGTGTGGTGAGCCAAGGTGACGTTTTTTATGCATTGAGGGGGGTGGCCGGCACAAATAGGTCGGCTCAGCATGTGGCAGCTGGCTGGATGTACGTTCTGCTCGGTACCACCTTGTTTACGGACAAGAGTGGTAACAGGATCGGTCCCAAAGTCCTGCACGAGCTACTGGACGACAAGAAGAGCGTACGGACTTATTCATGGGGCTCCGCTACACTGGCGTACCTTTACAGACAGTTGGGTATCGCCAGCAGAGGGAAGTGTGGGGGACTATCGGGCTGCTTGACTCTCCTGCAGTCCTGGATATATGAGTACTTTCCGACCCTGCGACCCAAGCAGCCGCGTATGACCCTCTCGCTTGGTTGTGATGCCCGGTCATCCTTGTGGACCACCCCCGTCCCAAAAAAGGTAGATGCGCGTCTCGAGGATTTTCGGAGGCAGATTGACACACTCACCGCTGTCGATGTACGTAAATTTATTTTATTTAAATTTAGTTGAAGTTATTTCAAATAATCAAATTGTTTGAATAAATATTTTTATGCAATTGTTAACAGGTGAACTGGCTTCCATACGAGCGCAAGCCACATGAGGTAGAGCCTAGGACCCTGTATTTCGGATACCTTAGGTACCGGGATATTGTGGAGCCCTACATGCATCTGCGGTGTTTGCGTCAGTTAGGCTACGTCCAGATTGTCCCTCCTGGCATTTACC